GCACTTGTCCCTTAGGCACTGCAATCACGCTCTAAGGTCATTAATACCACTTCTAACCCAATTTGCTTTTCAGGTACCTCTACAAGAACTCTTCCATGGTATGGGCAACCAAGAAGTGAAAACCATCCTGAAGACCACACTAACTGACTGATTAAATAGAATTGATTAAAAATTCGACTCAACTCATTATTATTATCATAACTAAATATCTCATAAATTGTTCAACATATTTATCATTATTATTCTCATACAAATCATGATGAGAATAATAATGATGTATTAAAAGGAATGTATGCATCTTATACAAAATGAAACTCTTTCTTAATGTATACATCTCTATAATAGTAGTATATGTGTAAGTATGTATAAGCAGAAATGATTTACTAACTATCTACCTACCTACCTACCTACCATTACAATACTTAATTCAACACACTAAATTATCAATTATTATAAAACAGGTATTAACAACTATTAATTGGATCGATAAAATAGTATTACAAGTTGCTTTTTTTTTCTTTTTTTCTTCTGTATAATGCTGATTTACTACTTAAACAAGGATATATGAAGGGAGGTCCATAAGCAAGCACACAGATGATGTAACTATATATATATATATATGGTATTACTACAGAAACTTGGTATTTGATTCAGCGTACAAAGAGTATACAAAGAGGAGAGTATGTGAGAAGGGGGTGGGGAGAGAGAGAGAGAGAGAGGAGGGACATCACGGGAAAGGTGTACTTTAAAAGTAAAAGTTAGACATGTGATCATCAGCTCATTTGAGTTATGTAGAAAAAAAAGCAACACATACATACATAGTAACAAATTATGATTTTTAAAGTTAGATGACAATTATATGACTTATTCAATGATCAAAATAGTTTCCATGTGTAAAAACATGTGAAATTTTAATTTATATTAACTTTTTTAAAAATTTTAATAGTTAGATTATCTAAATTCTGTGGTGGTAGTGGTAGTGTTATTGCTCTTTTCTATTGATTAGTTTTATTAAGAAAAAAAAAATGTAAATCCATTAGCATACGTACTTTTTAAGTAGTCAGGTCACTTTATCGTACGTTCTATTCTATTTATCCATGCTACTCTGTGCATAGTCAGTTACGGGTATGAGGGCTAATATTAATTCCCGGCTGCCCACACGGTGGAAAGGTATTTCTTAAGGGACCTGAAAAGAAAGTTGGACTAGTGTTGGTATTAACGACCTGGAAGCGTGACTGCAGTGCCCAAGGGACAAATGCTTGAGGCTGGTTACGCATGGCCTTTTTGTGGGGATTTTTGACGTGTTAGCTCCGTTCTTCAAAGGACCTTACCGCCGGAGAAGGAAATCTATGGGATAAGGCGAGGTATGCATTTTTAGGTTCGACCTTTTCTAAACGCATACCTCTTTGTGGGAAAGCAACATCACTGTTATGCTGGTTGTCTGAAAGAAACACGTTACTGCTGTCACATCTCTGTACAGTCAGTAGTACGACTTCGCCTTCGGACATTGGGTTTGCTTCTTTTAGTCTTACCGCTCATTAACCGACCTGTCTGGTATGGTAGGAACTTGAGGAACGATTGTTCCAGCCAGTATAGCTCGATTGTTTCCTCACGATAGGCAAGCTCGACCACCACAACAAGGTAGCAGCAACGGTCGGGTACTCTGTGCATACGTCCCCCAGCACATAATGAACTTTCGGAGTGTCAGGCAGTCGGGCACAAAACCTTGAACCTAGGTTTTATGCTATTTAGCACTCGTCAAGACCCTACACCTGTAATCGTTAAAGAATTTGAGTTCCCTAACTCATACGATCTATATGTTATCCAGCTTAACAATTTGTAACAATACCATTAGACTATTGAGGTTCGAACTGACCTTCTGTAGGATTGAGATGTTTACAGCCAATCGATTAACGAGTAGAATAACCAACGTCATGATATTGGTAGGTACTTTTAAGTTAAACTTAAACCTGTCAAAGGTTTAATATGTTACACTTGTTCTTGAATCATTCAATGAAAATAAATAAAATAATCAAATTACTTAATTTGCTTATAATAATGATCCTCTTCTGAATTGAAGATGTAAACTTCTTAACATTGAATACACTTGGTTACTGATGGCATAACAGGTAATGATGTATTTAACTATTAGTTAAAGTTTAAGAATCTGGCTACAATATTATACTAACTGAATTTCCAAAATTGTTCAATAATTATTGATAACTTGGTTGGAAGAGAGTTAGGGGCGACCAAACCAAAACATGACATCAGACCATAAAGTCATTAACTTCCAGTCTGAGCCATGTTGGTAGATGCAGACTACTTGGTTGGGGTCCACGTGACTATCGTAACCAATGGTTGGAGACTCTAGGTGACATGGCTCAGAATCGATCACAATGGCGCAGGTGTATACACTCTATGTCTTCTCTTAAACTATGAGATTAAAATTGCTTCATATCTGTCTTTCTTCCTGTACTATATCCTTCTTTTATATATCACCACAATTAAATTAACTACTTCTATGAATTCGGTGTTCATCTTGTCGTGATAATGAGGTGTGGCAACTTGAACCAATGTATACATGTGCCTGGTCATACGTTGTAGCTGACTGACTGACTGATAACTTGGTAAAACTTAGAGTTAAATTAGAAGGAATTAGGAGAGGAAAATTTAATAAATAGTCTAAATCAATATGTTATAAGTACCAATGACCTCAATAGAGAATGGGCTTGAACTATAGTAAAAATAATAATTCATCAAAAGAACAATAAAAAGCTTAATTAATAATTGTGCTACACAATTAATCTTTAACGAATTCTGTCTATTAACATTCAGGGTATTTCAGTTGTAATTCTTTATCTGATTCCTTAATTTGTTTTCTTCTATGTATTGATTTTATTCTCGATGGTGCTTAATCGGTTGCTAAAACCCTGTAATTAACAATGATTGAATTGATCATATGATTGAATTTAAATAAACATTTTAATCTTGGTAAGACTATAATTTATGAACGAGCCAATCAGAAGCGTTTAAGAAATTTCAAGGTCGCGGCCTCAATTTCAGTACCTGATGCACATGTACGATCGGTTCATAGAGGATTTTAGAGAAAACCTGACAATTAAGAGACTACAATAAATAGGACTACTAAGAAGTTCCTTTATTTGTAATTGCGGTAATCAAATGAATTGTAGATCTTGTGCAGACTACCTAGGTGATGTTGTCCTTCGATGTAATTTATGTTGGTGGAAGACGTCCGCTAGAATAGGAACTTTTTTCTCTCGATCCATATTGAGACTAAGGCAAATTATAATAATTGCCGCGAACTGTATAATAAAAGCACCAGTAACATTGGCTGCAATATTGGCAGAAGTTACTGAAGCTTCGGCTGTTCAGTGTTATGAGTATTGTAGGGATATATGCGTAATAAAAATGACAAACTTACACAGCCACAGTACACACAAACAATATTGGGGCTGTGTTAGAGGTTGAAAGAGTATATGGAACGTTTCACGAATTCGCGTGTCATCCTTGCGCAGGGGCCATGCTAATCTTCTCTGTATCGTTCCAATTTTAGTATATGTACCGCCGAAGCGAGTACATTCTAGTCCCCAAATGCCCTGGCAGGGCCGAGAGTGGAGAGAGTAGGCTCTCCCTCTCCAAATGCTCTAACATGACCACGCGTATATAGCCTCTGCCACACAAGTCCTACTCACTGTCTTCTCGTGACGGGGGTGTTGTTTACAAAATTGAGAGGACGAAAACCGAATGTCCTACGTTCTAACCGGGTTGGTGGACACGGAAAGTCCACATCTAGGGGTGTTGGGAAACCTTCATTCCAAACCAATGGTGAACATGGGTTCCAGCAGCCTGAGGGAACAAATGGCGTATTAACCAATCGTCACCAGCTACCATGGATTGCATCTACTCACGATGTTCCACTACCTTGTGGATCAGATCTTTAGGTCGAATGCTCCAGATGTGGTTCCCTAAGAAAACCACCTGTTTCAGTTTGGGCACGTGAGCAGGATCACAGTCCCTACACAAATCGAATGAGATTTGTGCGGCGCATATGTATCTGGTGGCCCCTTGTACCAATATTTATGTGTTTAAATAAATAAATAAAAATGAATGAGTATTTGCAACCTTATCATGGCTCCAGAGACCGGCTATTATGGAGCCATATGGATGAGTTCCTCTACCCTATGTAATAATATCTTAGATCCTCTGAATCTCTTTCCAACCTTGACCTTGGACCATGTAAAAGAAGTGCATTCACTTCAATTCTTTGGTTTTGTATAATATATATTTTACTCAATACCGTCTCCTGATTGGCTAACATTTCTCAAGGTCACTTTAGATTCTTTCAAAGATCCTCCATAAATTATAATCTCGCCGAGAGTGAAGCTGATGTATACGGTATTACGGCTGTCATTTTTCAGGGTGCAAAATGCATTGCCCAACAAATTTGCACCACTTACATTAGAAACATGCTAACCGACTTAAACTTACATATATCTAAGCTAAAGGACAAGAACAACATTAATACAAACAATTAGAATGAATAATGATAATCTCATTTATTTATTTGAACACATAAATATTGATACAATGCGGCACCAGATATAGATGCGCCACACAAATCTCATTTCATTTGTGTGAGAGCTGTGATACAGCCGAGGTGCCCAAACTATAGCAGATGGTTTTCTTAGAGGGCAACAACCAGAGCCTTTGACCTAAAGATCTGATTCACAAGGCAGTGGAGCATCGTAAGGAGATGAAGTTCCATGTTAGCCGGTGACCAACGATTAACTCGTACACCATTTGTTCCTTCAGGATACTGAAGTCAGCCCATGTGAACTATTGGTTTGGAATCAGAGTTTTTCCAACTCCCCTTAGTGTGGACTTCCCGTGTCCACCAACCAATAATAATCTGATTATTATCGATAATATAATACATATACAATATGATCATTGTATTAAAAAAAAAGGTATCATCTTACCCTTGACCAATTTTTTCTAATCTTTGATATTTTCTATTTGGATCACCAATACTAACAATCATTCGAAGTTTTTCTTGTATCATTTCATCAGTCATTTTAGATTTACATTTTTTATTTAAATTATTACGTTCTAATGTACCAATTGTATGATTATTATCATTATTACTATGATGATGATGATGCTGTTGATGCTGCTGATGATTATTATTGTCGATAGGATTAATGATCATAGTATTATTCGATGAGATTTGTTGATGATTTATTGATTTAACTGTACATGTTGTAGTTGAAGTATTAGTAGTAGTAGTAGTAGTAGCATTATGGAAATGATGTTGATTACAAGTAAGAGAATGATTATGTGTAGAGGAAAGATTAGTCATGGGTACTGTTGTTGATGATGTCATGGATATTAGCGTATTTATAGTATTACACATTGTTGATAGAATACTACTATTATTAGTAGTAGAAGGGATCATAGTTGTACAGATAGAATTTGTATTTAAGAAATCTAACTGATCATTTATACTTTTATCAATATGATCATTTACAATAGTAGGGATAGTAGGTGTATTGGTAGTTAACACCATTGTTGAAGATTCATCATCGAATTCATAAGAATTAGATTTTTTCACTGTTAAATTAGGATTCACCGATTGTAAATAAACATCAGGGAGTTGTAATGATGTTGAATGAATACTTGTAGATGAATCATCACTATTATTGAATGATTGGGTGGTTGAATTGATATCTCCTCCACCAATCGGTTGAGTATACTAAAATAATAAATAATAGTAGAAAATGAATAGATTAAATTAGATACTGAAAAGATATTACATAAGAGTTATTATGTAATCTGAAAGTAATTTTCAAAAAGAACTGATAACACTTGGAGAACATAAGTATACAGAAATCATGAATATATATTATCATTGTAAATAAAATACCATTAACATTGTACGGAACTAGTAGACAATGATTACAATGAATTATATGTATATATGAGTTCACTGTTTCGAAATGAAAGTTGTGTTTTGTATAGTTGAATGAATTGTAAGTTGGGTCAGTCGTCGTTGATAATGGTTCAATAACAAACAAATGGGTTGTAACTGAAAAATCCCCGACCGTTGTTGCTAATTTGGCGCGATGGCCGGGATTGAATATCGTGATGAACCAATCGAGATATACTGGATGGAACAATCGTTACTCAAGGTCCTACAATGCCAGACAAGTCCGCTGAAGAGCGGTAAGACTAATAGCAGGAAATCCAAGGTCTGAAGGTGAAGTCGTAATGCTGACTGTACAGAGGTGTGACGGCAGTAAGGTGTTTCCTTCAGACAACCAGCATAACAGCGATGCTGCCTTTCCCCAAGGAGTGGTGGGGTTAGAAAAGGTCGACCCTAAAAATGCGCACCTCAATTTATCCCATAGATTTCCGTCTCCGGCGGTAAGGTCTCAATAAGTAAGGAGCTAACACGAAAACTACCCACAGAACGGTCGTGTGTGACTGGTTCAGAATAGTTGTCCCTTGGGCACTACAATCACGCTCTCAGGTCATTAAGATCACTACTAATCCAATTTCTTTTTATGTACATCTGAAAGAACCCTTCCACTGTGTGGGCAACCGGGAAGTGATAACTGCCCTCATACCTCTAACAGTACACAAGACTGAGCTGAAAAATCTAAATCATTTAGCTACAATAAATCAGTAACTGAATATCATAATCATGATTCCCGTTAAATCTGAGGATCCTTACACTTTCTAACCCATATATGGTCGTTATATGTTCATTGATGCTAAAAAGTCTTAAAATAAAATGAAATAGTTGTGTATACACAACTTCAAACTTTACATTAGCACAACCGAAAACGAATCGAAATAAACGGAAACGGAATGTAGCCGCTCAGCACAGGCCAGTTCCTCCATACAGAATAGGAATTGCAAAGCTCAATTCGGCTGGAATATATATATATATATATATATATATATATCAAGAAAGACTGAGTATGGGATCAGCAACGCCTGCCTAACGAGCACTAATTCTAATGAAAATTATGTTGAGTATAGTTTTATACACAATATACACAACTACATGGTACAGAAATACGCCACACGTAATGTCAAGTTAAGTAGAACAATTGCAATAACATTACAATTTCGATCAACAGAGTTCCCCTTCACACCTAAATGACTACTTCAACATGATATTAGTCTCTATACAATTATCAATCAATCATAATCATTAGTCTACTTCAACTAAAACATCACAATTTTTGTTTGGATTGATTCATCAAAACACATATCATAACCAAATAATAAAAAATTACAATACATAATGAGGAAGTATTTGCCAGTGTAGATAGGAGAATTTTACAGGTCCTTCTACGATATTACTGTGTCTGAGGAGATCGTCTACAAGGGATAGGTTACAGGTAAATAGACGATTTGGAATTCGCTGATTACCTAGCTCTTCTATCACATACACACCAACAAATTTAGGTGAAGATACACAGTGTACCAACAGACTCTACAGTAGTAGGTCCTCAAACACAATATAAGAACCACCAACACAATCATACTTGATGGAGATGTTCTGGAACAAGTGCGAAGTTCTACGTACCTGAGGACCTGATGCACGTATGAAGGCACACATTGGAAAACTAAGATTACCATTCCTAAAATTCACAAACATACAAAACTCTAATCGAATGTCAAACAACATCAAACTCACAATCTTCAATACAAACATCAAGTCAGTTCCATTGTACACAGTTAAAACTTGCACAACTATCAAAATCATCATTGAAAAGTCACAAGTAATTATGAACAGTTCTCTACACAACATATCCTATGACTGTTCACCTCATGATACCATCAGCAACAACCTACTGAAGTAGACAACAATTCAATATTCAGTTCAAGAGGAGATTAAGAAAACATATTGGAAATGGATAGAACATACATTATGAGAATCATCAAACTGCATCACCAAGCAAGACCTTACTCGGAATCCTCAAGTTCAAAGTTAAAGACGAGACCAAAAGAACACATTGAGTCAGGAACTGAAGTCTAATTATCAAAATAATGAATAGTAATCGGGAATAACTGGAAAGGATTTCTCATGATTGAGTTGTATGAAGAATGTTGGTGGGTGGCCTATGTTTCTCCACGAGGGGTATCAGGGGTAAATAAGTGTATATATTCATGTATACATACATATACGTACATTACGTACATATACATACGATATGGATAACTAACAGTTAGCAATGAAGTTTATTAGATCTTAGTTTCAGTATTAAAAATAGTGTAATTTGCGTCAATAATATGTTATTAATTTATAAAGGACAAGGTAATATCTGAAAATACAACGAAATGCACAGAATAATAATAATAATAATAATAAATCTATTGTTAATACTACTAATAGTTCTGGGTTCGAATCTCGCGAGTGCGGGATCGTAGATGCACACTGCTGAGGAGTTCCATAATAGAACAAAAAACGGCCGTCTAGCAGTGCTTCCACGTTTTCCATGATGGTCTAGCTTCAATTAACTCATGATTTCAACTATGAAAAATACTGAAATCTCCACAAAACCCCTTTTGACTACTAATAGTATTTTTATCCCTATGATAAACACCAGAAAAAAACAGTAGTGGGCACATAAGATAACGGGAAAGACTAGAGAATTAAAGATGTGTATTTGATTCTCCTAGATACTGTAACACATTATTTATTCTATTTTATTTAAACACATAAATATTGGTACAAGAAGCCACCAGATACATATGCACCATACAAATCTCATTCGATTTGTGTGAGGGCTGTGATACTGCACACGCTCCCGAACTGAAACAGGTGGTTTTCTCAGGGGCCCACAAAAGGAGCCTTTGACCGAAAGATCTGATCCACAAGGCAGCGGAGAATCGTGAGGAGATACAGTCCCATGGTAGCCGGTGATCAACGATTGATTCATACGCCATTTGTCCCCTCAGTATACTGGAGCCCATGTGCACCATTAGTTTGGAATCAGGGTTTCCCAACTCCCCTAAGTGTGAATTTTCCGTGTTCACCAACCCGGTTACAGCGTCAGACATTCGCTTTTCGTCTTCTGAATTTCGTAAACAACATCCCTGCCACTAGAAGGTAGTGAGTAGAAGTTCCCTGGCAGAAGCTATATATTCGCTGGCCATGTGAGAGCATTTGGAGAGGGAGAGCGAACTCTCCCCACTCTCGGCCGTATATAACACATTACAACTACTACTACCAGTACTACTTTTATGACTGATAATTTTTTGCCTATCTCTCTCTCTCTCTCTCTCTTCCCTTATTCACCCAACTAATTTTGTATGTTTTTAATAAAATTATCCATATCATACATCGTACAAATGTTATCTAAAACCTTAAATATATCTATAAATAAATAACCTATAAGCAACTACAAATGAAAAGCACATACGAAAAAAGATAGCGGGGTGATTTAATGGTACACATTTAGGATAAATGGATAGATACAAATACACAGATAAACTAATAAAACAACAACAAATTTTGTTCAAAGTTCTTTCCAAAAAAAAATCAATATTGATTATATATATAGAAAGTTTCAAGAGGAAATTTTATAACAGTACCATGCACTGGTCCACCAGGGTGTTTCGTACCTGAGTGGTTACGCGACAGGATTGGGCTGTACTGTTCGAATTGTGGCGTTGAAGTCTATATAGTGTCTGGTTCTCCTGTTAAACAGGATTGAGCTGTACTCTTTGGGTTGTTACGCGAATGTCTGAATGGTGTCTGGTTCTCCTGAAAACCAGTGCAAGATTACCCTGGCCCATAAGGGTATATTATATAATGCACTGAGGGTTTGTTATTTGATAATCTTGGTCAATTTTCGCTTTCTAATACTATATATATCTATCAAGTTAATAGTCAGTGTCATGCCCCCAAATGCCCTGGTACGGCAGAGAGTCCGCTCCCCTTCTCCGAATTCTCTCACATGGCTACGCGTATATAGTCTCTGCAACACAAGTCTTACTCATTGCCTTCTCATAGCATTACTGTTGTTTACGAAATTCAGAAGACGAAAAGCGAATGTCTGACGCTTTAACCGGGTTGTTGGACACGGAAAATTCACACCTAGGGGAGTTGGAAAACCCTGATTCCAAACTAATGGTGCACATGGGCTCCAGTATACTGAGGGGACAAATGGTGTATGAATCAATCGTTGATCACCGGCTAACATGGGACTCCATCTTCTCACGATCCTCTACTGCCTTGTGGATCAAACCTTTAGGTCAAATGCTCGGGGTTTGGCTCCGTAAGAAAACCGCCTGCTCCAGTTCGGGAACCCAAGCAGTATCACAGCCCTCACACAAATCGAATGAGATTTATGTGGCGCATGTGTATTCGGTGCTCCCTTGTACCAATAATTATGTGTTTAAATAAATAAATAAAATAATCATTGTCATCATTGGATACAAACAATTCAGTAATAGTTTGTATTTCTTTGTAGGAGACAGGGCGGTTAGAGAATAGATATTTCCTTATGAATAATGTTAAGTAAACAGATAACGAAGTACATCAATCTTACTAATAATATCCGACTTAAATAACATGAAAATATACAATTTCAACTTTCCATCTTGTTATGACTCGTAGGTTGAATGCTTTATTCGGATCCTAGCTACTCGGATAACCCCAGGCTAGCACTACTCAGCGACTTGAAAGACCAGAGAGAAAACACGAGTATCAGAGAAGCACTTTACTACAAGGTT